CAAACTTTATTTCAACTATATTGAAAATTGGATTTTTAATTAACTGAAAAATGTTGCATAGTGTGCCTTAAAGAGGAATTTTTACTCTTGACTCTTTAAGCCGTCTTAATTTATATTGCTAATAAGGAATGTGACTCAAACTAGGCTGAGACTAAAATCACATGGAATTACTCAACTATGACTTGAATTCAGTTTTAGTATAAAGGTTTAACAGCAAACTCAATTTGCTGTTAAAATTAAGTTAATTTATTCAGTGATATCTAAAATTCTTATAAATTACAATTTTCTGCCGTCTTCAAGGCAGAAAGGGAGAATCTAGAGGGAAATATATCTTGCAGTCAGCAGTGTGTTTTATTTTGTAAATTGCATTAAATTTGATTTAAGACAGACTTCTACCACCTGCTTATTGGAAGCTGATTTTCTCTGTGTAGAGTTTAAAGGAAAAGACGCCTGTTTATGCTAACATCAGAAGAGGAGTATTTAACTGATCAGCATTTGAATCATTAATTGAATATCTACGAAATGGTAAATAATTCCTTAAACCATGTCTTGGACTGTCTTTTTTTTGTAACGAGATCTTTCGTTCTTTCTCTGCAGATTCTCACCGCTTGCACCACGTCAGCAGCCTGGCCTGGATAGATGCACACACTCTGGTCACCACCTCCCACGACGCCTCGGTCAAGCAGTGGACAATTACATACTGAGCTGCAAGCAGATGTTCACATCTCCAGGGACGAGGACTACTGTAGAAATCAAGCTTTTATTTTTTTCCCTATTGTACTGTTAGACATGAAGACTTTGGTCTATGCTGTCTGTAACATCTGAACTGTAAATCGTTATGTTAAGGATGGCTTCCAGAAAACTGTTGGGCGCAATTTACTTGAGTCTGCACAGAGGAAATGTTAACTCGTAAAATGTAACCATGAGTGCTTTTACTCCTCTTCAAGGACACAAACATGTTTAAGCATGGTAATCATTCCGTAGTTTACTGAAATCCTTTTCTGTGGCTGGGATCTGTGCATCATCCCTTTAAAAGGGACCCAAAAATCCTTTAAAGGGAGCAGAACATCTTTCAATAAATTTAAACCTTTTGGTTACATTCCTAAAATGAATTTGTCCCTGCAGCAGTATCTCTTCAATATTTTAATTTTGCAGATTTGAGTGGTTTATGTTCTTTTGAGTTCTATATTTTGATTCGCCTCTCTTCTGTGGGACTGAGAAGCAAATGAGAATGAAATGATTTAAGGATACAATCAATGCTGGTCTTTCTGTCGGTTTTGTGTTAATGTCTTCCTTGTCTCACTTTTTCTTGGTGTCTTTATGAATCAACAGCCAAAGTGGAACCGGTTCATTAATAAAAATGTACTTTGTATTGTTTTGATGCACTATTTAATACTCAGATTACAATCCTATTCTTTTCTTGGTATAGTGCCATCTGCAGGTAAGACTCTCAGCCACAGTGCAAGGTTAATTTAACTTGGTTTCACTTTATGAATATGTTGTTTAACAAGGAAAGTGGCAGCTGTAGCACATACCACTACTTGATACTTCTGTGTGGGCTGGCTCCTGAAACACTGATTGCAGCTGGATCCAAACACCTAATTTCCTATTATAAATTCCAAGCATCTTTTTCTGACAGAATTTCTATGAATGTCAAGTTAGCAGTATTCAGCACGAGTCTGTATAATCAGAATAATACATTTAACTTGTGTATCGTGATGCTGATACTGCTATTGTGTGGAGGGAGAGAGCATGGCCCAAATACTGGCCATTACTTTCAATTCCTGGTCTACTTTCAAAAATAATTAAGGCCACTGGTGCCTAGTAAAAAAAAAAAAAAATAATATATATATATATATGCAGTCAGGGGTGATTCTAGGATCAGAGGATTAGGGGGGCTGAGCACCCAGAGAGCCCTCTAGCCAGGCAAGATTCATTTGATTTCTCTTTTTGAAACTTGCTCAGTGCCATTTGGATTAAACTATTTTGGCATGGATGGGTAAAAATATTTTTTAAACAAAGTACTTTATAGTTAAAAAAATGGCATAGTTTTGTTTTTATTTTCAAGAGCACATACAAAATAAAACAGATTTTAGCGGTGCTTTGATTCAATACAGGGGTGCTTAATGGGACTGATAACCGCTAAGAACGGCCATTTAAGGCTTGATCACATCTGTAATGGGGCCGTTTATTATAACGGAGGCAGAAAATAATGCCTCACGCTTACATCCGGTATGCTCTGCGCTCACAGACTAACAGCTGTAAATTGGCTGAAGTAAGATTTGCCCCATTGCTAAAAAAAAATACTGATGTCTGCATATTTTTTCTTAATCTGAATATTGTCTGAATCTATTTATTTTTTAAGATGTAGAGTTAATAAGAAAATATAAGTTATGGAAAAAAATTAAAAGGTAACTGAGCAGAAGGTAGAAAGAGGAAATTATTGGTTTCCACACCAGTCCTTTAGAAAGTTACACCTGTGGTTTCCAGTTCGCCTATGGATGCAGATGACCTGATGTAACCAACTTATTTCCCTCTCTCTATTCATTTCAAATTAATTGCTACAAGTCAGTACACTCATGTCAAAAAATAGACCTCTGCAGATTTTTTTTTTTTTATGAATGCAAAATCAAGGCGTGGAATATTTTAGAAAGAAAAAAAAATCGCTGGTTTGCGATTTAAAAACGTATTCACAATAGAATATTATTCTGCTAAAAATATTTATGTTTTTTGTATGTTTAACCTCAAAAAGTGAATACGTATAAATAGCTCTTTAGTGAAGCCATGCTTTTATATATGGGCTGTCTCATTTTTTCCTTGGACTAAATGTTAGAAATTATCTCTGAAATCTGAAATCCTAGATCTTTGTCCACTTAAGCTGCCTGATAAAATATTTTTTTGAAATAAGAGTATGGGAGCATTATAAGTTTTGAGTGCAAGAAGATGAAATTCTTTTCTCAAATTGAAATTATGTGCTCTTGCATTATGGCAGGATAATTCTCCCATATAAGAGCATTTAATAAATTGGTTGACTCAATGCTTTCAATGTATACTGTACATATAATTTAATTAGCATGATCCTTATTCAGTCAAAGGGAATCAGATTGTTAACTCACATTTAGACCACAGATCATCGACGTTTAGCCCTGTGTATGCTGATGACTGTATTCTGTTCATTAAAAACATTTGCATATTGTAAACACTTAGCATAGTAAAAGGTGCACGGTAGACAAAGGTTTTATCATTCCAGTATAAAACAGCGCCCAGACCTAAGTACGCTGCTAAAATGTTTGTGGAATCAAACTGATGTCATTCAACACAACTGAAACTCTGCATACTGCAAATTATGGATGAATCATAAAAAAAGGCTTATTAAACTTTTATTTTTACATTAATAAAAAGAAAACACAGCCATACTGCTCCTTTATCCTTTTCCTATATACTCTAAAATGATATATATTTAGCTAACAGTGATACAATATGAGAAATGAAAGCCAAAGACAATTTTTTTTTTCACTCAAAAACTTTGATAACCAAGATACTTCTGATTCTGATCCATTGTTCCACACATTAAGACCAAATTAATTATTAACACTTGACATTAAATATGTTGTCATGGAAAAAAATGATTAGTTGTTTATAGAAATAAAAGATTCCTGCTCTGAAAGCATTTTAGTAGGAACTGTTAAGAAATGCAGTAGCAAAAGAAACACTCAGACAATTTCTACTGTGTCCCAGTATTCAGCAGCTAGACTTTGAAAATAGATTAAAAAAAATTTAGGCAGCACAAGGTAAAACCAATTGGGTATTAAGATTAAGATTTTAAATTATTTCACCAAGAAATTTGACTTTGAAAGTTAACAAGACTGTATGCCTTTTCCTGCATAAGAATATGAAATAATGTTAGTCCTGGAAATACAAAAGTTTTATTTAAATGTAGTTATAACCAGCACCCCAACTTTCAGCTCCCTCCCCTCAGATTTGACTCAGGATTTGCTTGAAATCTAAATATTAATTCCAGAAGAAACATGTTGGCTGCGTTAAAGGTTTATCTTAAACTACATCTACAAGGAGTATGAAGTATTTTACTACTGTGCTTCATTTAAATAAATGAAACAAATGTTTTATTTTGAAGTAAAAGTAAATGAATGCTTTTTGAAGGATTTTATTTATCCTAATGTGGTTTCAGCACTGATCAGTTGTACACAGACCCATCAAGATATGATTTATTACCCTCACAGAGGTAATCATTCAAAAACATTTTCTGCAGTTTGAGAAACAGAAATAAATGAGTGAATTCCTGCAAGGATATCAGAATAAATAACCCATTTTCTGCAGGTGTGCCTTGCTTTATTTCTTTACAATTGTTAAGAGGTCTATCTAGGCATTTCATCTTCCAATTATAACCCGGGTTTGCCATCTGGTGCTGCTATATTTAAAAGACAATAGTTCAACATCTTCATAAATCTAGTCAAGTTCACTCTTTGTTGCCTAATTATAGACCTAATTCTTAGCAACCATTTTTAGAAACTTTTTGAGAAGATTGTTTGTTGTCAATTTGAATCATTAATGAATGAAAATTACATTCTGAAAATCTTTCAGTCTGGTTTTAAAGCCTGCCATGGCACCATATCTACATTATTGAATCAATATTTTTTTTTTTCCCCGTGGTATACTAAGTAAAATACTGTATACTGTAATAAAGTTAGAACGTTGGACCTAATATTCAAGGTGAGGCAGACAGTGGGAAAATTCAAAGCGTTTAATAAAATCAGAAAGTGGTATTGCAGATCTGCAGCGGCTGCAGGGGGAGGCGGGGCACCGCCCATCAGGGGTAACTCTGGTTAGAGAGAAACACAGGTAAGTGACCATGATAATCTGACGGAAGATGATTATCCGCGGGAGTCACTTGCCTGGTTCAACAGTTCGGTCTAACTCCTTAGAGCTGGGTAAGATCCAGCCGATGGACTGCCAACGAGATTTGGGGGACAGCGCCCTGAGTGAACCAGATGAAGCAGCCTCAGTGAAAAGGCAGTCCAGGCCAGGTCAGGGAAACAGATCAGAACAGGAAGGCTCAGAGATCCAGGAGTCCGTAGCCCGGTCAGGGGTTCCGATCAGAACAGAAACAGGCTGGTCCAGGATTCCAGAAGTCCACAGACAATTTAGGCAGGCTCAGTTAAATGAAATCATATAGCAAATGGGTTAATACTTAAAAAGCTATTTATCTAATGAAACTCAGCTTATGGCAGCGAGTCACTGACTTGCACAATTCTCATGGGTGATCATATAGCAACTTGCATTGTGTTGTTCATGTTATAAAAATTGCAGAATCCTAACAGATCAATTGATTGACTTAAAAGTCACAACGATGGGCTCCTTTAGCTACATTCTGGTTGCATCGTCACCAGTCACGGTAGGTTTAAATTCAGTCAACAAATTAAATTAGCCAGCAAGTTCTCATGTGATAATGCTGCCATCTTAATTAGATGCCTACAGCAGCTTTGTTTGGGGTTTCTGTTAAACAGCAGGAGTCCAGAGAGCGAAGGGTAAGCTTCATATTTCCTACTTTTCTGTGTTCTATTCTATTCAAATCTAGCTTAGTTCCAGACTCAACATGCATCTGACAAGCCAACGATGTCTGATGCATGTTGGAGCGTCAGTGGTGTTTCACCAATTCACTAAAACATTGTTTATAAATTAGGACTCCTTTGGCCCTGCATGTGAAGTCAATGGTTAACACAACTGACTGGCTTTTGATTTTCTGAGTACTGCAGAGAGTAATGATCTCTGAGATTGTTGATATCTCAGACATGGAATGTGGAAAGAACTTTGTAATGCTGGCAGTATTCAAAATTAACGTTCGGGTACACAAAGTCAGTAACAACAAAATGCAGCCGGTAGACTCTGGATAATGCTTCAGCAATATGTTGTGCACTATACAAAACACAACATTGATTTTTTTTTTGTAAAAAGAGAGGTACAGTATCTAGAACCAGCACTCATTTTAATATTTTATCACACTTTAAATACAAGTTGGAATGTGTCTTCTTGATTTTTTAAATAATCGACCAGCATACAAAATTGTGAATCCTAATATAAATGTTGGATATTGTTTTTCCTTTTGTGTTGGGTTAGGATTGTAATTTCTTTAAACAAATAATAATAATAAAATCTGTTGCACTGGTGTTCAGCCTTCCTGAGTCCTAATTGCAGAACGAATTTCAGCTAGGGGTGAAAATAAAACCACAGATCTTGTTAGGAATGTCTCTACCAGCTTTGCATATTCAGAGAACTTGTTTAGGCTTAGTTACTGTTCAATTTGGACATTTATGTCTGGACTTTGACTAGGCCGGTTTAACAAATGAATATGCTCTGAC